AGATAGATAGATAGATAGATAGATAGATAGATAGATAGATAGATAGATAGATAGATAGATAGATAGATAGATAGATAGATAGATGGATAGATAGATAATGTGTGTATTTAATTTTAATTTGTATTACCTTGAAATAATTATTCACTCAAATTCATCTTGCTGAACTGTTGTATTCTACCATGTTATTGTTTACTATCTCATGTTAGGACATTGTAAATATTATAATTACTTTTTCACTTGTTGGTACTTTATTTTTGTACCCTCATTGCATGCTTTTAGTATTTCTTGTTTGTTCTATGGTTTTTTTTTTTTTTAGCAAGTCAAATCAGTTCTTCACATCCTAAGCATTTCACTGTATTTTTAACCCTGTGTTAACCTTGCATATGACAAATAAACACAATCTGACTTGAAAAAAGTAATCTAATAATCAGATGTTTTGGGCCAGATGGCCAACTTGCTACTCACAGAAACAGCCTGAGGACACCAAGGCCAAAATGGTTCAGAAAAAAGGGTTGTAAACTCAATTATCCAGGAAATCACAAAAAAAAGTGGATGATTGAGTTTACAAACCTTTTTTTCCTGAACCATGAACTCCATACCGGTTGATGGCGGTACTACTACGATAGGTGGCAGCACACGTTTTTTTTTTTTAAACTTTATTTTAGGCGCTGAAGAAGAAAAAAAGCACCCGACAACACCGGTTATAAAACATCACCTGTAAGCCGAAACACCTTCAAACCGCGACGAGTTGAAGATCTCGGTGAAATGGGGGTTGAAAAGTTTTGCAGCCCGAACAGTTCCGATCCGTTATGGGTAAGTTTTATAGCGTGACTTGTGTATGTTTATGTGTTATCTTAAGTTGTCAGGTTGTTGTTAGCGACCCGGCTAAGCATGCTAACACGGTTAGCGCTCTAGTTAGCGCCGGTGAGTTCAGTTTCCTGATGGCTGGTTCAGGGTGCCCTCATAAACAGAATTAACTAAAAACGGATTACATTTTATTTAAGTACGTATGTTACCATTAGTGCTGATTCATATGCAGTTTTGGTTCCATCCACTGGTTATCCTGTTTCATACATTCTAGGTTGTTAAATTGGGATAAATGGTTCATTGATCATAAATTTAAATTAAATGCCCATAATCCCCTCCGTCATCTTTCTGTTTGAAAGATGATTGTGGCTTAATTAATAATTTTTACTACAAGAAAAGCTGCTGGAGTTTCTTATTTCATTTAATTAAAAAAAATCAATAATTTCTTCATCAGCACATTTTTATTTTACACCAGCAAAACGTGGATATGACCATGACAGTACTGATATTATAACAAACCGTTCTTTGGCCAAACAAAGGTGTATTACTAGTTATTAAAAACAATATTAACATTGTTCCAAACATTAGGACTTCTGACCATTAATCAAAGGAAATTTGCTCAAAATCTCATGCCATGGTATTATTATTATTATTCTGTAAACTTGTAGAAATCAGACTAATTTTTGTGACAAGTTTTCACAGTATTCATCACTTTATACTTAAACGTACTTACTTGAGCTTGGCATCATTTACATTTTTTAATGCTTTTCTAATCAAATGCATTTGTTCAGTTATTTTTAATAACATACCTAATTTTTTTAAATTCATTCATTCAACATGTATTTAGACAAGTTAATCCCATTGAGACTCGGGGATTCGTTTACAAGAGAGACCTGATTTTTTAACAAAGAGTGATGACAACAATGGATAACGACAACAATAACAGTCATAAAATAGGCATAGGCATACAAATTTGAGTATCTGTTTTTTTTTTTTTTTTTACAAATAAAAACAAAATGGCAACCAAAAGGACACGCAAGTGGAATAGTAGCAAAAAAACAGCTAGATTATAAGGCGATGTTGAAAAATAAAAACAGGAACATGTCTGCATTGGTTTTTGCCAGGTACTTAACAGAGTTTTAAAGTCACTTAGGGAGGTCAAGGGCGAGAGCTTCAGATCTTTTTGCAAGATATTCCAGGAAACGGGAGCGGCGTAGGAGAAGGCCCTTTTGCCAAGTTCAGTCCTCACTGAGGGAACACTGCAGGTAATAATGTCCTGAGAGCGCACGCTGTAGCTGCACTCACGCAGTGACATGTAGGAGGAGATGTATGAAGGCAGCAGACAAAGAAGTGATTTAAATATGAAAATGTACCAGTGAGAGAGTCTGTGTGAAGTTCAATCAATCAATCAATCAACTTTTTTTATATAGCACATTTTAAAAACCACAAGGGTAGCCAAAGTGCTGCACAATAAAACAATAAAAACAAACAAAACAATAAAAACATACAAAGCATACACAAAGAAACATAAAAACCATTCACATACCAGTTTCACAGCAGGTGTATTAAAAAGCCATAAAAGATAAGATCACGTGTTAAAAGCCAAAGAATAAAAGTTTGTCTTTAAAAGAGATTTAAAAACAGGAAGAGAGGAGGCCTGTCTGACACTCAAGGGTAAAGTGTTCCACAACCTGGGAGCAACAACAGCAAACGCTCTGTCACCTCTGAGCTTCAGCCTAGTTTTAGGGACTGTCAGCAGCAGCTGATCAGCTGATCGTAGGGATCGGGGTGGAAAGTAAGGCTGAAGCAGCTCAGACAGACATGGTGAGGCAAGGTTGTTCAGACATTTAAAAACAAACAGCAAAAGCTTAAAATTAATTCTGTAGTGCACAGGGAGCCAATGAAGGGACGCCAGGATGGGAGTAATATGCTCGCGCCTACGAGCCTGAGTTAACAGGCGAGCAGCAGAGTTCTGCACAAGCAAGTCAGGTCTTGCTAGGATTGGTTTCACTTTTGCTATTTGGCGGAGCTGATAAAAACTTTTTTGAACAACACTGCTGATCTGTTTTTCAAATTTAAAATCAGACTCAAACTTCACCCCCAGATTGGTGACACAGTCCTTGAGATAAAATGACAGTGAGCCAAGATCTATGCTGGGAGAGGGACGGCAACTTGGTCCAAACATCATAACTTCAGTCTTGTTCTCATTTAGACTAAGGAAGTTAAGAGAGAACCATGTCTTAACATCATTAAGGCAGTGTGTAAGTTGTTGAACTGTGTTGTTTTGTGCCATGGGAAAATAGATCTGGCAATCATCAGCATAAAAGTGAAATAAAATGCCATGCTTCCTAAAAATCGAGCCAAGGGGGAGTAAGTAAAGGGCAAATAAAAGAGGGCCAAGGATTGAGCCCTGGGGGACACCATGTGGAAGAGGAGCAGTGGAAGACATAAAATTGTCGATTTTTACGCAGAAACTCCTATTGGTTAAATATGACCGAAACCAATTGAGGGCGACACCCCTGATGCCCACACAGTGCTCAAGACGAGATTAAAATGCTGTGATCAACAGTGTCAAATGCAGCAGACAAATCTAAGAGCACTAAAACAACAGACTTTCCGGAGTCTGTGGACAAGAATATATCATTTGAAACCCTCAAAAGTGCACTCTCTGTACTGTGGCGGGCTTTAAACCCAGACTGAAACGGCTCAGTGATACCATGGTCCTCTAAAAATGGTAACAACTGGTTGTAAACAACCTTCTCTAATAGTTTTGAAATAAATGGGAGATTAGAGATAGGCCTGAAATTGGAGCAGAGAGAGGGGTCAAGACCTGTTTTTTTAGTAGAGGGCATACAAATGCATGTTTAAAAGCCTCAGGTACTATACCAGAGGAAAGACTGCTATTGATAATCTGAAGTACACTTGGTTCAATAGTGGAAAATACCTCCTTAAACAAACGAGGTGGAATGGAATCTGCAGGAGAACCAGAGGGCCTCATATGATCAACTGTGTCCTGTAGAAAAGAGAAGGACACCGGCTCAAACTGATCAAAAACAGATGAGTGGTGTAGAGGAATAGAAGGATCATAGGAAGGCTGAGAAATACAAGCTCAGGTTGACACAATTTTATCAGTGAAGAAGTGGAGGAAACACAGATTTCAGTGGAGGCATCAAAACCAACAGACTTGGAAGCATGGAGAACAATATCTATGGTTTTGAACAAAACTCTGGGGTTGTTACAGTTAGAAGAAATTATGCCTGAGAGATATTTGTTCTTCTCGGCTTTTACAGTTTTCTGATAATGTAACAGACTCTCTTTGAGAATATTAAAAGAGACATGTAGTCTGTCCTTTTTCCACCTGCGCTCCGCTTTTCTGCACTCGTGCCTGGCAGCACGCGTGACGTCACCCAGCCAGGGTTCGGGGGTAGGTTTGGTGCGCCGGTTCTTCAAAGGAGCGATCGTGTCCAGTGTTTGTAAACAGACAGAATGGAAGCTGGAAACCAGTTCATCAATATTTAAACTAAGAGAGTCTTTAGAGTTATCCTCGCAGAGACCAAGAAAAGTGGAGGAGAACAAGGTTGGAGAGGAGGAGTTAAACATGCGACAGCGATGAGGAGGAGCACGCACTTTAACTAGACAGTGAGTGGGAATGTCAAATAGGATGGGCATATGATCTGAAAAAACAGCATCACATATGTCCAAGTTGGAAACATCCAGACCATGAGACAGGACCAAGTCAAGTGTGTGCCCGAGTTCATGAGTAGGACCAGACACAGACTGTACAAAGTTAAAAGAGTCAAGAACATTTAAAAAGCTCCTGGAGATCGGCTCTTCTGGACAGCAGACACGAATATTAAAATCTCCAAGAATGAGAAAATAATCATATTTGGGCAGGATGTCAGCCAGAAATTCTGAAAAGTCATTTATTAAATCCTTATTGTGCTTGGGTGACCGATAGATGACGACACACAAGACCACATGAGCGCGGCCGATTTCAAATGAGCAGTGTTCAAAACTTGTAAAAGAAGACTGCAGGCTGATCTGCCGGCATTTAAAATCATTTTTAAAAACAACTGCTAATTAATTTAATGATGTCCAGTTAACCAGTGAATACAGGGTGCAGTGGTGGTTATTGTAATTACAGCCAGTTATGAATCTTAATGCACCATGATAAATGGTAAATGGTAAATGGACTGTACTTGTATAGCGCCTTTCTATCTTATCGAGATACTCAAAGCACTTTACACTACAATCTGTGTCCTCATTTACCCGTTCATACAGCAGTCTACTAGATCTCTACAAAGATAATTGAACAAATCATTCTAAAGAGACTTATCAGAGCTTTGTCACATTCATACACCGATGGGACACACATCGGAGGCAACGAGGGGTTCAGTGTCTTGCCCAGGGACACTTCGGCATGTGACTGCTGGTGGATTTGAACCCCCAACTCTTGCATTGGAGGACGACTGTTCTAACCACTCAGCCACAGCCGCCATAGACAGCATCCAGCATCTGCAGGGTGCTTGTAGGAGCATTCATATAGATAATGTCACCGCAATCAATGGAGGGAAGGAAAGTCGAAGTTACAAGGTGTTTTCTACCATTCAGAGTTTAGGTTTTCTCTTTAGTGTTCCTATAGAGATCAAACCTACAGAGTTACAGTAGCTGTTTGAGATTCCTGCTGTAGAAATCTCCAATAAAGACTAATCTGAGCACTGGAGTTGTTGTTGCTGTTGTTATTTTATGTTATGATTACATAATTATATAGCATTTAATCATTTAGTAGGTACAGCTCCAGCCGGACAACCACCGGTACTTTATTTTTTGCTGTTAGTCTCAAATCTAAAACAGGCAGTGTAACATTTATTTACTTTTTAATTTATCAAATGTTGACTTGGCGTTAAACTTGTTTAAATAACTTAAAGCAGTGGCCTCTTCTTTTCTTTTTTTATTTTATTCATTCATTTTAAAGAAACAAAACTAATCCGTTACTAAGAAAAACAATGAATGAAAAGGGTGCAGAAAGAAGAAAGAAGAATCTTCCAATCTAACTCTGTGAAACTTCTTTTAAAATCCTTCAAGCACATGAAATAACATCATGGTAATTACAGCCACCCCAGATTTTAATGTGCACCACCCATTTCTTTAATGCGAGATCATTCTGTGATAAATTAAAAATGTTTTCATTTAACCTTCACAGAACTCAGCAAACACGATCAAATCAGTAGTTAGCTGTTAATATAAAAATATTTATTGCCCCATACCAAAAAAAATTTTTTTAGGAAATTTGTCCAAATTAGAATAGAATAGAAATAGAATAGAAACAGCCTTTATTGTCCCACTGATGAGAAATTCAATGCAACAGCAGCAGCAGATAAAAAGATTCAAACAAAAAGTTCCTAAAATGTTAAAAACAATATATAAAGAAAGGAGATAAACAATATCAATAATATTGTTCAATATGTATTGGAACACTGAGAATGGCAATTCGTATCAGAGGTGTCAGCCAAGTGTGCAACGATACTGGACCAACTCCTGGTCTAGTCTGGAGGAAATAACTTGAACCTTAAAAAAGGTAAAATGAGCCAAAGAAAATCTCAGTTTGTACTTTAATGTTTTTTCTGACTCTGAAAACCTGATAAACGACCAGCTAATGTTTCACTTTCTGAGCTCAAATTTAAAATCTAAAGAGTGACTGAAAACCTGAATTTTCTGTTTTAAACTATACCTTTTCTAGGTTAATAATACGTTATAACGTATCCTACAAAACATACTGTGCCCCATGACATTCACAAGCAAATAACATTTGCTTGTGAAGTTCACAATTTTCAATTCCTCAGCTTTTTGACATCTTGAAACCATGTTAAAGATTAATAAGGTTACAGTGTTTTCCTTCACCTCATGTGATCAAAGTGCATCATCACAACATCCATCCATCCATTATCTTTACCTGCTTCTTCCTTTTTGGGTCATGGGGGTCACTGGTGCCCATGTCCAGCCATCACTGTGCAAGAAGCGGGGGGCACCTGGACAGGTCTCCATTCCATGCAGTGTCCCCTTAGCGAGGACTGAACTAGGCAAAAGGGTCTTCTACTCTGCTCCTGTTTCCTGGAATATCTTGCAAAAATATCTGAAGCTCTTGACCTCTCTAAGTGGCTTCAAACATCTGATAAGTTCATAGCAAAAATCAATGCAGACATGTTCCTGTTTTTAGTATTCTAGTACTCTACATCGCTTTACAATCTAGCTGTTTTTTGTTTTGTTTTTTAAATACCATTTTCTTTCATTCTTCTCAATTTATATGCTTTCTTTTATGATTGTCTATTGTTGTTTTTGTTATCTACTCTTGTCATCGTTATTAGTTAAAAAAAAAACTGGTCTGTCTTATAATGAGTCCCCGAGGCTCAATGACACTAATCTGTATAAATAAAGGTTGAATGAAAATCACAGAGACAAACAAGACAAACAACCATTCACTCTCTCACTCTCACCTAGGGACAATTTAGAGTTACCAATCAGCCTATGTATGCTTTTGGTCTGTGGGAGGAAACCAGAGTACCCGGAGAAGGATATAAAAGGATTTTTTCACTTAAGCCCCCAGTATACTCCCGTGTACATCCGTTCACGCGTACGTACACGTGTACTGTACGCAGAGGGTTCAGACTTCGTACTCGAGCGTACACCCTGAGCAGCTGCAGAGCAGCTTCACAGACAAGGGGCGTTTACCTTCGGGACAAATTGAGGTTGCCGATTGGTCAATTGCTGACACGCCTACTGGATTGATTGACAGGTCGAAAAAAAAAATTAAAACGAGCACTGGCAGCCTCAGCGGTGTTCTGTGTTTATATGTTGTTAATAAAAAGATCTAAAAAATACAAAAAAAAAAAAAACAGGGAGCGCTGGCTCTGCAGCCCACACATCAGACCAGCCCACTAGGAAATCTCAAGACTCTCCCGCAGCCATGCTGGACCTGAATTTAATTCGCTCAAGACAAGTTCCTTCATTTCTCACCATTTCAGTCATGGCATCAACGGAGGAGGAAGATATCGCTTGCCTCTTGGCAAAAAAACAAAATAAAAGGCCAGATCAGAGATGAAGAAGGGGAATTTAATACTTTGGTGTCGCGTACAAAACAGTCCATCGCCGGGAAGTTTAATTGTGCGACACCACGTACGTGTATGCAGTCGTAAAAATTGAGCTTTGCACGGACATGCCCTGGGGGGTACGCTCGTACCTCTGCGTACGTACGTGCGTACCTCTGCGTATGGATGTACGCAGGAGTATACTGGGGGCTATAGCTTTGTAGATGTAGTATGAATGTGTGTGTGGAGATGAATGAGGGCACATATTGTGTTGTAAAGCGCTTTGAGTATCTTGATTAGATTGAAAGGCGCTATATACTGTAAGTACAGTCCATTTACTTATTACATTATTCATGCGATTTATTGAAGAATCTTTGCTTCTTTTCTCCTATTTTCCTGACAGGACTGGAACCTTACTTGGCATATTTCTAATCCAGACTTCACACAGTGTTTCCAAAACACTGTCCTGGTGTGGGTGCCATGCCTCTACCTCTGGATTTGTGCCCCTGTGTACCTCATCTACCTCCGGTGCAATGATCGTGGCTACATATGTATGAGTTACCTTAACAAAGCAAAAACTGTAAGTAACCTCTGTCCAGTGTTTCCTGAGGTCACTTACTGCTGTGGCTGAGTGGTTAGAACAGTCGTCCTCCAATGCAAGAGTTGGGGATTCGAATCCACCAGCAGTCACATGCCGAAGTGTCCCTGGGCAAGACACTGAACCCCTCACTGCCTCTGATGTGTGTCCCATCGGTGTATGAATGTGATAAAGCTCTGATTAGTCTCATTAGAATGATTTATTCAATTAACTTTGTAGAGATCTAATAGAGTGCTGTATGAATGGGTAAATGAGGGCACATATTGTGTTGTAAAGCGCTTTGAGTATCTCGATAAGATAGAAAGGCGCCATATTAGTACAGTCCATTTACCATTTACTTACCTTGGCAGGGCACTCATCTCTTTGGGTTTGTTGTCGACGGGATGGGGGCGGGGATGGAGACACGTCGAGCAAGGGTAGGGATGGGGGTAGGATGCGTGAGAGAAGTGGTATGCTATGTCTGTTGCGATTTAGCTAGCGCATCTGAATTGTGCGCCACTAGCTTAGTGCTACATCAGTGCCGGGGGGTTGGAGCTGAGCGTGAAGGACATTTCAGTAGGCAGTGTGCTTGTTTCTGTTGACAGGGCGAGGCGCCCTCCTTGGATAAACACTGCTGTCAGTTCATTGCTAGTTTTTCTGCTAGGCACTGTGAAGACCACCAAACCTCATGATTCTCATTTTAATATTTAGGATTTCTTACCAGTCTGTTCACATAGTTTCCATGTTGAATGTAAGAGGACTGTAAAAAGTGTAAAAATGACATTTAAGAGGGGCCAAATCTCTAAGAAGTAAAGATAGGCATGGGTTTACCAGTCTGCAATAAACTGTG